AATGCTTCTAATAAATCATCACGTCCGTGGAGAAAAGCCCACATCGTCAGGCTTAGCACAACCCCTTAACGGATCGTGCAGAAAACCTGTACACGAGCGTCCAAAAATTGGTGGCCTACGTCTGTGAGAGTTGATTTAATTCCTCTAGGGCTGGAGTCTGAATTTTTTTGGTACCTATTCTGGACGTTTTACACCCTTCTCTTTGGACCAAAATGCGGCCACAGACTTCATGGTCTGACCTCAGCCACCCACTTCGTTTTTTAAAAAAGAAAGTCAGGATTCACACTTGGGATCCCAATGCAATCCTCTGCCACTGAGTGTGCACACCCACCTTGTCGGCATCTCCCGATCTCACCTCTGGCTCTACTTTCTCCGGTTGCAGACGAGAGGATCTCCGGAGAGGGGTGTCCCGGGATTCCCTCCGGGCAGGATCTTTCTTTCTCATGATGCAGCCGGGGAGGGAGGAAAAAAAAATTAAAAGTGTGCACAGAAAATTCCTTAGGTTAAGTTATGTGCCGGCCCGGGGCTCCACATCGGAGCAAGCTGTCACCACAAAGCTGACCGACAGAGACGTTAACAAGCTGAGAGGAAAAAAACACACACAACGCCACACACCCTACCAGGAGGAATTTGAAATGACAAGCAGCAATTGGCTACAAAGCTGACGCACAGAGACGTTAACAAGCTGAGAGGAAAAAAACACACACAACGCCACACACCCTACCAGGAGGAATTTGAAATGACAAGCAGCAATTGGCTGGCGGGATGTTTATGCACAATGCGCAGGGTTTAGGCCCAGGCGCAAAGCTGACGCCTAGTGGCCGGTGGCTGGAAAAAGGAGGAAGAGAAGAGGAACTCAGTTAGTTCAGCAAGAATACTGCTAGCGCTGGTAAAAGCACTCCTTAAATATCTCGCATACCTTGAAAGCTTTACAGGGGTGCCTCGCTAGACAGTTACCCCGCATGACAGTTTTTTTCGCTAGACATTGACTTTTTGCGATCGCTATAGTGATTCGCAAAACAGTGATTCCTATGGGGGAATTTCGCTGGACAGTGTTTGGTCCCTGCTTCGCAAACTGATTTTTGCTAGACGATGATTTTGACAGCTCCCTCCACGCTCGCAAAACGGGTGTTTTCGGGACCTAAGCTTCGCAAAACAGTGATTTAAACAGCTGATCAGCGGTTCGCAAAGCGGCTTTCCTATGGCCGATCTTCGCTAGACAACGACGATTCTTCCCCATTGGAACGCATTAAACAGGTTTCAATGCATTCCAGTGGGGAAATGCTTTTCGCTAGATGATGATTTCGCTAAACAGCAATTTCAGTGGAATGGATGATCATCATCTAGCGAGGCACCACTGTATTAGGGTCACATGAAGTCCAAAAAGATCTGAAAGGTCACACACTTTAATAATAAGAATCACCTTAGGACAGCAGAGCTGGAAAGAAACCCTCTGGATCATTGAGTCAAGGAGGCCCACGGGGGGGGGATTCGAACTCGCAACCTCTGGCTGGCTCGGCCCCTTTTGAGCTGTAAGACGGCGGAGACTCTCGTCAGCAGCAGAGAGCATGCGTGAGGGTATAAAAGAGTGACTTTACAGATCTATGGAACCAACTAAAAATGACTAATAAAAGCTTCTTTTAGGCACTTGATCTAGAAAATTATCCTGGGCCCCCTCGGGACTACCCTGTTATTTTAAAAACCAAAAGTCAGAATTCTTCAGCACTGCACAGAATCTGGGAAAGTTCCTTTTCTGGAGGAAAACGTCCTGTAATCATCCAGCCAGAGTCATCCATGTATTAATTTTTTCTGGGAGTTCTGCTACTGGGCCGCAGAAGGAGCGCCAGTAGAAGGATGTGCGCTCCATGTATTCCCGAGACCGTTGTTATTTGTTTGTTTGTTGTTGTTGTTGTTGTGTGCCCTCAAATCACCCTCCGGTTTTGGTGACCCCTGCACACGAAAGGGTCACCAAAATGTCCTGTTCCCTGAAACCACCCCTTAACGAGCAATTAGGGTCAGCATACGTTGGTTCTCATTTGAAGACACAGAACGACATGAAATAATTGCATCCAACTGAGATTTGTAATTGGATTTAGGCCAGAGCTTTCAATTTATTTATTTATTTATTTTCTATGCTTCCTTTTCCCCCCACTTATGGGACCCAAGACACCTCACAAATTATCTAAAAACCAAACCTCTTTGAAATGCATT